CATCAGCAGTAAATAATTATAATGATTGAAAGTTTTCTTATTTACCTTTTTAAATTAACTGTAATGAAAAAGAAATTCCACCAACATATTTTCACGAGCCCTATATTAAAGGTCATATGGCACGCGAGCCACACTTTGACCACCACCTGTTATAAGTAATCAATATTTTATTAAGAATATTTTAAAGCTATCGTCCTAAGAATATCATGAGTGAGTTCGTCCTTGTGCCATAATTGTATGTTTCATACAATAAATATAGAATATCATGAGTGCGGGTGAATTTGTTTCTTCTAAGAAAGGGATTTATAAGTAAAATAAATAAATAAGAAGACTTAACTGAAGCACTTGCCCGTCAGTAGAGAGAATTAGCGTGTTTAAACAAAGGCAATGCAACACGTAAACGCCACAGTCAAGCTATTTGACATCAAACATATAGTACAAAGCGTTCTTACAACTTTGCAGATACGTTGTGGTGTCATTGGGGGAAATCGTTGTTGCGGCAGCGTTACTATAACGTTACAATCAACTATTTTCCTGGCTCCCAAATGATCGTTTTACACCAACGGTGTCACAACGTTATGGTAATGTTATGAAGTTCTTTAGCTGAAAACTTTCGCATTGGTCAAATAGCTTTAGAATATTGTTTCCTCTTATTAACAATATGCATACGAGTTGCAAGTTTTTTTTTTTCTACACACGTAATATGTTCCTGGAATTTATCCATTTTCTATTAATGTAACATTACAAGGCACATTACGAGTGGCTAGAACGTTCTCATTCTAATCACGAGATGTTATCGTTCAGTACATTTGGAAAGTGCCTGAAAACCATACCACCAAGCCTTGTGATTGAAACTGGGTAGACGGAACCCTTCGAGGCTGTTGATAGCTGAGCTAATCAGAAATCACCCGACGGCTTGAGTGTGTAAGGTCTGCTCAGCATAGCCTCAGTATAAATCACAATTGGACTTGGTTGAATAAACACAAAATGTGCCTGAGCAAACGTCTGCAGTAGGGAATGGCTAGCCGCCCTAGTAGACCTGTATCCTCGAATACGAATGGCCAGCTATACGTACATATATACACCTTTACAAGGCAATGTGTTTGCAACGTTACAAGATAACGTTGAGGGCGCGTTTTGGGGAGACTTCAAAATTGTAACATTTTGATAGCGGTCTGCTCGGTCATTAGAATTATTGAACATTCTCACCCAGTATTTTCAAATTTCATTTGTTTATTTAACCGGTAGCGGTCATGGATATAAAACAAATAAGGGAGATTTTTAAAAAGAAATAATTGTGTAGGGGAGATATAACTCGGTGTAAATAATTATAAACCACATAACGTTTATATATACAAAAATATTCGTGAAAATAAGAAAGAGCAAGACGTGGAAACAACAAAACTAATATTATTTATTACCTGGTTAGTATATGGAGCAAGAAACATGAGACACAGTAATACTGAGTAAAATTGTTAATTTAGGATCATAGATTGAAATCCGATAGAATGATAAGATAAAGAATAACCCCTTATATCTAGGCACCTGACTCCCCAGACTGCGACAATCTTGATTATTATGTATGTTGTGGAGTATTTTCACAGTGGAGGCTTGCATTTCTAATAAGTCGTCCTAAATTAGGTCCGACGTACAAAACGTTAGGAACTTGGAAAATAAGAGTCAATGACGCAGCAAATCTAGTTGTGAGAGTTGGTACTTCAAATGTCCGATTCTCGACTGACGCGCTCAACACCATTCAGTATTTATCGTTCCACCCACGAGGACCGAATATGGCACAAGGCCGGTTTTAATGTGGGTATCCCCGAGCCCGTAGGCCTGGCCAAAAATATAGCCTTTGAACCCGCCTAGACGGGTTCAGGCCCTTTTTACCTCCCCGGACGAAACCTTACCCTTCGGCAAAGCCTCGTCGGGTTCCTCTCTGCTAACGCAGAGAGTTCGACAGAAGGCGTGCGCAGTCAGAGACCGCTCCACTCCATTCGGTATTTATCTTTTCACCCACTGAAAAGAATATGGCACAAGGCCGTTTTTTATGTGGGTTTCCTGAGCCCGTAGGCTCGGCCAAAAAAAAAAAATAGCCTTTGAAGCCGATTAGACGGGTTCAGGCCCTGTCCACCTCCCCGGACGAAACCTTGCCCTTCGGCAAAGCCTCGTCCGGGTTCCTCTCTGCTTACGCAGAGAGTTAGACAGGAGGCGTCCGCAGTCAAAGACCGCGAGATGCCATTCTGCCAGACTTGCCACTGCTACTCCTACTTATTATTTATGGGAGAGTCCATTACAATAGAATAGGTAGTATAACAATGTGTGAGCGCAGTTGAGCGAGAGATCAACAAAACTCCTTATAACACCAAAGATGAACAGAAGACAAGGATTATGGCAGCATTCACAAACTTAAACAAGGAGACATTTCAGAAAATTTGCAGAAGATTCTGAAGTCGTCTGGAGGCCGTGGTTAAAGTCTATAGCGATTTTATTGAATAAATCTACTCTTTAGTATTTCAAGATATTTTTGTGTAATTTTGGTAAATATATCTGTTAAAATGAGATGTCAGTATTATTTTCATTTTTGCGTAATTTAGACGACAATTTATCAATTGCATCTTGTGCACATATATGTGCTTGTGTGTGTGTGTGCGTGTGTGCAAACTCAGGCCTACATCGTGTCTTGAGCAGGTAGTACTGCCATGGGTCAAGAGGGTGTCTGCTGGAAGACCATATGTCTCGCAACAGGACTCTGCACCATGCCACACACGCAACAGTACCCAGTCAGTTAGTGTCAGACAATTTCTGCGACCACCGAACCCCTTATATCTATATGATATATATGATAAGATAAAGTCTAAGTAATGTGTATAGTCTTTCTCGTATGTTTTTTTTTATAGATGTGTAGAATGAGGGTCTAGACAATTTACTTTGAAAAATACAAGCCTCTTAGATTCTCTTACTTCGAATTTTGTTGAGTACTAAGAGAAAAATGTTACTATTATGGCCTGAAAGGCGAGAAGGAGCCGAAATTTTCGTTGATGCACGTGTTGACGGCCTGTTCGATAGGGAGAATGTCATGTGTTTGTGTGTAGGAAAAAGTGGGATCGATTCTCATTGGCTTAGAATGAGTGAATTAATGATAATTATAATTATTTTTTACACTATAGTTAATTTTTATTTTTTATGAACACAGCACAATACAGTGACAGTATAATCATTTTTTTATTTGTGTATTTCTTTATGGATACGACAATTGCATGTGCGATTTCCTGATGCGATTACTGATATGTCTGCAGAGCATGTATGATTAACTTCCTCTGGGATTCTACAAGATAAAGCCGAAGCCTCACCACGTTAGGTGTTACAGCTGCATTTTTTTTTAGCAATTAGGTTTTTATAGAATGCAGTTCCTTAGCTCCACTTTCAATCGGTTTGGTTCAACCTGTCACCAGGTCCACTGTCCTTCCTATGCCTATAGATTTTCATTGAACAGATATAGAGGTTTATTCCTTGTTTCGTGTTTAGGATTGAGTTTCCGGTTCCTTCTAAAGTTTTCTCATTCTCTTCAACTCACAGTAAACCCTTGCGCCTTAGTGGCACTTTTATTCTCCTTGAGGTGAAATGATTAAAGATAAATGATTTCAGCATCATCCTTCTCGTGGACTCTTTGTCACCCAAATTCTAGAGAGCCCAAACTGCTCTGCTATTAACCCCTAGCCGGGTGAGAAGAGATGTGTTCATATATTTCCAAAGTTATTTACGCGAAAGCGAACGTAGAAAAGGGTCATTTATTAACCTTTTAATGTTAATAATAAAAGATAAGTGCAGGTTAAATAATAGAGCATGGAAGACACAAAATTCAATAAATTCATGTCTACCGTAGTTTGGGGATACCAGGTGCTGTAATCTTGGATCTGCGGGTGGTGTAATGGATAACAGCTCGGAATTGTTAATCGGGAAGCCGAGTTCAAATCACCATGAGGTTCTTTATATTCACTTACGCGCGATTACCCTTGGGGTAATGTATAAATCCACCATTTATCCTCCCATAATAATTTCTCGAACTACCAATTGCTCGAAAGACAGATTGCACGAAGTAATTTCGCAGTTCGAAGCACCACGTAAACTGCGCCGTCTCACGACACGTAAACTGCGCCGTCTCACGACATGTCAACTGAGCTGGATATAAAAAGGAGCCACAACACTCAACTTTAGCCGTCCTGATTTTTTTTTCTATATTTGTTTTTCTATTTCTATTTCAGTAATTTTGGAGATCTCGAACCCTAGTGATGGACATCACTTTTGTTGAGAGCGAAAAAGGAAAGAAGTTGTGCTTGGATGGATATCTATATATTCAGGACAAAACTGAACAATAAGATTTACTGGAAATGTGAAATATGTAAAAGAAGGAAATGCTTAGCACGTGTTTTATTTTTTTTAACCACAGGTTTCAAACTGCCTTTCGAGCAAAAAAATAAGACCTGCTCTATAAATGTACTCGTTCTTTAATTTTAACTGTTCGGTTAACAACAATAAAGTTGTATTATTTTATCTTACATTAAATATTAGAAACAATGTAGTTTTATTTTTTTTAACCACAGGTTTCGAGCAATCTGGCTTTCGAGCAATTGATAGTTCAAGAAATTATTTTTCGAGCAATTGATTTCGAGCAATTTACTGTCGAGCAATTGATTTCGAGCAATTTACTGTCGAGCAATTGATTTCGAGCAATTTTCTGTCGAGCAATTGATTTCGAGCAATTTACTGTCGAGCAATTGATTTCGAGCAATTTACTGGATACGCCTTCCTGGTATGGGTTAATTAGTAAGATATATCCCTAAAGCATTATCTTCAAATTTCTTATAGTCTAAACATTTTTCTGGCTTTAAATAACCCATAAATAGTTGCTAAACCGTAGAAAACTAATCCAATTAATCAATGGTATTCGAACTTTGCTCTTCAATTTCTCATTCTGGAACCATTACACATCCAAGTGTACAGAACCTAGTATTCTGAAGCGGTCACCTATTTAGGTACTGACTAGGCTCGAGGTTTCTTAGCTTCGATGATCGGACGTGAACCGGTGCTTAAGCGTGATACCGCCGTAAAATTTTCAGCGTGTTACAGCCGTAAATTTGTAGGCTATTACAGACGAGAAAAAAAAATTAAAACAGCTTAAATCTATAGACACAGGAAAGACATAAAAAAAATTCTGGAACAGAATATGGGTATTCCAAGAGAAATAAAGCAACAAAATTATTGGCGAAAATTAAAAAAAACAGATAACTGAAATTTTTATATAAGATCAGCGTTCCGTTTAAATATGATCACGTTATCTGTTTGGATTAGTTGCGCTCTTATGTCCATCGTCTTTCCGTGTTGAATTTTTTATATGTTCTAATGTTAATTATGTTTAAATGAAAATGTCCATGAAGATGGTCTTAAATAGACTGAAACGTCCGACGTCGACTTTATATTAACATTAATACAGCATAATTGCATATTAAGATTTTTGTTTGTTTTTTTCTGTATATTTTCTTCATATATATATATATATATATATATATATATATATATATATATATATATATATATATATATATATATATAAGGAGAAGTCACGTATACTTTTCTTAATATGTATATATAGAAAAAAACAACTAAAAAGTTGCAAATTAAAAAATAATAATGTTTTTTTATGAAAGTATTTATTTATATTTGATATTTCAGATCGACCCCGAAGAAAGATCGAGATCGATCTGAAATATCAAATATAAATAAATACTTTATATAAAATATATATATTGATGCATGTTTCATTAAATAATATAGACAAGTTTTGTCTATTTATTTTAAGTAAGTTACTTTCATATTGTCTGATAAGCTTAATAACATTATCGTTGAAAGACGAAAAGAAATCACCATATTGATACATGTTTAAATCCAATCTAAGCTTTCGGCTTACATAAGCCATTATCAAAGATGACAATTACATTTCAATATATCAAACAACACAAGGACGGAAAAATAATGATAGTCTGTTTTTGTTGCATGAAAAATTTCAAAGCAACGACAATTGTCATTTTTTCAGTGGCCAACCTATATATGTGTAATGATAAAGACATCATTTATTTTCTTATTTGAAATCATTTCATCCCAAGTAAGGCGATAGTGCCACTAGAATACATTTACAAGGAGTGAAAGTGAATGAGAAGATCGAAGGTGGGGAGGATTGAGGAAAAAGAAAAAAAAAAGGAAGATGGTTCAAGAAGACGGAAGATGGCGATTGATGTTGCATTTAAATTTTGGAAGATTGTACAGCTTGTTACCCCCTACTAAAAAGTAATGAGAGCATTAGAACAAGTACAAAGCACAAGTACTGGATTCAGTTTATTCACTTTCCTTAACGCTGTCACACATCGAAAAAGTCTGTATGAACACCACCATTTTTGTGGCACTAAATGATGCGGCGCCATTATCTGTGTGATATTTGACGAATCTGTGCTTTGTTGATTGTTTCAAAGGTCTCCAAACGGCGTCCTTCAACTGATGGGTATTTTGGTATCGTTCATGTAAAACTCCGTCCTTGATAATACCCTGTAGAACATTGAAATAGAAAATAATATTATCTAGGGGCGACAAGACTTTCGGACCACCTTGTAGTTATCAGAGAAACAAGAAATCGGGAATAGTGCTGCACAGGTGAGAAGTGCGAGAAATAACTGTTAGAGTAGAAATGACGATTGCATCTAGCTCTGATATACAGTTGCTAATCTTAATATAATTTAGAAAACAAATTTATTCGAGATTAAAAACCAGGCAGTGGATATAATATCTCCCCTAAATGTTCTTCTATCTCTGAATCACTCACCAAACGTCAGGTAGCCTGTCATTGCAGAGGTCTTCCGTTAGTACAAGTAGCGAGATTGTATACATCGCCACTTTGCTAGGACGGTCGTGAAGCTTACGTGTGGTATTTCCCCGTGGTAACCCGTGTGAATATTGGCCAGGTTTAACGTTGTTTAACTTCGGTGATATGACGAGAACCGTTGTTAAGCATTCCTCCCTAAATCAACTGTTCAAAACCTCATTCGTATGTTCAAGAGAGAGGATGCTATTGCAAATAAATTTGCATGTCGCATGAAGAATATAAAAATTCATATCTCAGACATAATCTTAATTGCTCGCTGCCATTGAAAAGTTAAGATGTTTAAATTACAGATGATTTTTTTTTTTAGAATAGGTGAAACTAAAGAGACTCGAGGTGACGGAGATGTGGTACTACAGAAGGATGCTAAGGATATCATGAACCGAGCGTATGAGCAACGATGTGGTCTTAGAGAGGATGCAAACAAGGAGGAGGGTTATACTTAACATCAGGAAGAGGCAGCTGAAGTTTCTGGGGCATATAATGAGGAAGGAGGGCCTGGAGAATCTGATACTCACGGGTCGAAGTGAGGGAAAGAGAGACAATGAAAAACCAACTCGTTACATACCTAGCGGATTTAAGCAAGTGGGTGACAGAACGTGGTCTGGGGGAGGTGGCAGAGAGAATGAACTTGTTGAGAGCTGCAAGGGATAGCGGGTTGTGAAGAGCCATGATTGATTACGTCCTGAAAGAATATGGCACATAGAACAAAAAAAAAAGCTCAGTTTAATTTTTTTTTTCTTCATTTCAACGTAACGTCCACCCGACATAGAAATTTCGATAGATTCTACCAAGTTTAATATAAAGATTAACTTTTATTTTTGTAGGGGTTGTTAACGCGTTTCTGGTGGTTTTAAACGAGAAAATCTCCGTGTACGTGTGTGTCTGTGTGCGTGTATTCTTGGGAAGGAAGTTCAATTTTGTCAAATTTGAAAGCTCAGATACTACAAGAGGCTGTGCTCCATGGAATTAACGACAAACTGATTTCACTTGACAGTTTTTTGTTGTTTGTTTTTTGTTTGTTTTTTAATCTATTGCCTTGAATAAAAAAAAAAGGTTGTTTCCTATTTTTCCTCCACTTCGTCAAAATTGTTTTATAATTCTTTTTGTTAACCCCTTTCTACTTCTCCCTCCTTTTCTCTACTTGAATCCCTTTGGATTCGACATTTCGAGAAACCCGTTCATTTTACAGCTTCATTTCTTTTGCTTTTATTTTTACCCACTCATCTCAACAAAATAAGATGTTGTTGCCCAATTAAATACGCGACCATACTTTTTTTTTTCATAAAAAGCTTATATAATACTTTTTTATATTAAATTTGAAAAAGGTTAATTCGAGACTTCAATCAACAGATTTTCTTCTATCAACTGATACTGCGAATACCATAAACAAAACGCGTGAATAGAAAGAAGGCTTGAAGGAAAATAGAAGCTAAAACTGCAAGTATCAGAAAGAGACCTTTAAAATTTAACACTCTCAAGACCCACTGAGGCGAGAGAAGTAAGAAAAAACAGGAATAACGTACCTATCGAACTTTTATCAATGACAAAAATAGATGGCAAAGAGTTAAAATTTACTTAGAGTAACAAAATCTAGAAAGTTGGGGAGTTGAAACCAAACAGAATCCAAGAAAAATTCTAAAATACGTGATTATTTTACATTTATTCAGATTAACTCATTCCAATACAGGGTCAATTCACAGAAATTGTGAGGGGGAAAAAAAAGAAAGATTACATTGCGCTATTCTTCCAAGTAAGGAAAATAAGCACTAACATTCTGGCATCATACTTTTTCTTGGGACGTCTTTTCAGGACACGGGCGATCATGATTCTTACTATTCACACGGCGATTCTATGCTTTATTTATCAGCTCACAAACCGGCTTGCTTTGCGCATGACAAAGAGATAACCTTTGACGTTGAGAAAGTGATCAACGAAAAGTATTGTCTCTTGAGAGAAATTAACTTTGGAGTAATTAATTATTTAAAATGGTTAACTAATTGACAGTGCAGATTTGCTTAACTTGTGGATTTCAAAGTTGGAGAATACAAGAAATGGGAGAGAGTGAACTAAATCACCGGTGTGGATTTGCAAACGAAAATCATTTGTTTTTAGGGTTTTTTTACGTCATTACAGTTTTTTTTTTTAATTTTTTAGGTTTTTTTTTTAAAGTTTTTTACATTTTTAGGGTTTCTTTTACGTTTTTTAACGGTTTTTAGGGTTTTTTTATGTTTTTGTTTTTTTTTACGTTTTTTCGTTGTTTTTAGGTTTTTTACGTTATTAGAGTTTTTTATCTTTTAGGTTTTTTACATTTTTAGTGTTTCTTTTATGTTTTTTAGGGTTTTTTAACGTTTTTTAGGGTTTTTTATGTTTTGGGGTTTTTTACGTTTTTTCGTTGTTTTTAGGTTTTTTCGTTGTTTTTAGTTTTTTCGTTTGGTTGTATTTAGTTTTTTTTGTTTCGTTGTATTTAGTTTTTTTTTCGTTGTATTTAGTTTGTTTTTTTCTGTCATTGTTTTTAACTTGTTTTTTTTTCTTTCGTTGTTTTTAGTTTGTGTTTTTTTTTTCGTTGTTTTTAGTTTTTAATATAAACGAAGGCAAATACTTAAAAACCCAAATCGGATTTAATTCTGTTTAAAGACCAAACATTATTCTAACACCATGATACAAAAGTACTTGCATCCTCCTCTTGGTTTTTTCGATCAGAATATTTCAAACATTTTACTTCCCCGCAACTTCCGTCGACTTCCTGGGTTGGCCTATTTTCAACCACAAACAAAAACAATGTCGATTTAAAGAAAATATGTTTAAGCATGGGAGTAAATAAATACCTGTACACGGATTGCATTAATCTGTGTACATGTGTGCATGAATATGAGAGAAAGTGTGTATGATTTGTTTACTTGTGTGAGAGTTCGCTCAAATGTTCAAGCCTCGGTGATTCTCAACGCACCAGTGATCATCGAATGAATATTTATGCTTTAAATGGTGACCAGCATATTAAAATAAGTAATTGTGAAAGCGTGCCTACGGTTCATGCGCGTTCCGTGTTTATTTCCAGTCCGGATAGTTGACGGCGGCAGTGTCGGTGTCGGCGGTAGTAGCGGTCCTAACCAACTTAGACGTAATGCCCTTACAGTCTTCATTATCCTTCCTTGGCGCAGTTGCGACAAAACAAAAAA